GAATCATTGAAAGCAACTACATAGAGAAGATTAATTTTGGAAGAGGTACTGCTTTATCCTCATTGTGAAGGAGGACATGCTCCCCCACATAGCCGAACATAATAGAAACCGGTTTTCACCGGACAACACTACAGAGTAAAGGATCAATCACACTTCGATCCACAAAAGAGTCACAAAATTCATTAAAAGTATAGGAACAGAGAGGTGAGATGATATAGCTTTAGATTTTCATCAGGTGACAATTAAGTTAAAATAGAAGCTAAGAAGGCGTTGTGTAGTTGGATGAACAATACTACAAAGGTTTAACACTGGTTTCCCTCAAATTGCGGATTAACTCGGAGAGTTAAGGTAGCTTTGAAAAATCTACTGGAAAAGAAAATCATTATGAAGAACAAGTAGAAAAGAATTAAAAAAGCAATTACTCCAGCATTGTAGAAGGTGCTGAATCACAGGAATCACCGGCATATAGAACAAACTTCAGTAGACTGTCTGGGCAAGATCCAAGGAGAAAAACCTTAAGAAGAGAGAAGTGAACAGCACTGTGCAGTCCATATAGCTTCAAACGCCGAGGTGTTATTCACTAAGCTACTGAGTCGAGTTAACCAGTAACTTGCTCAAGATTATTGATGTTGTAGTTCACCAAGGTAGATGATCTATGTCGAATGATTGAAAGTCTACTCGAGTTAGACGGGAATGGTGTGACGAAACAGATAACTTCGAATTCACACCTCGCGGTCAGCATCTAACGTAGATTGCCCCTTCTACGTATCAGATTACTATGGCTGCTTTGAAGACCATATAACACAGAGCTCGTTATTACAGAAATATATTAGTTAAGGTAGATACAAGCGAAAGTAAGACCACCGACGGATGGGCAAGTCCACAATGTACGATTAACTGATGCACGTTGTTTGTCCTTGACAGGAATCGATGGTTTTTTCGATGTTCAGTGACTCAACTGCTGGATGATTTGGCTAGGGCTCAGTGACATTTCACCGGCCCTACAAAGTACATTGGCAAAAGCTTATATTTTCACGTTGTTGATGTTAATGATAGGAATTGTCAAGTCTCTTTTGATATATGGGTATCTTGGTCGGGTCGCCTCGATAATGACATTTCGTTACAAGTTTTGGTAAAGTTTGACTGTGTTGATGAAATCGACACATCGTTCAATCACAAAATAAATGACACCACTGCAGTTTCCCGACATTTAGCCTTAAAGAGTTCACGTTTTTGATGCTTTTATGCTGTATAATATAGTTAATTAGCAGAAGAATGCTATTCCAGTGTTTTTTTGAAATGGTTACTATTAAATATAATTAGGTCAGCCTCCAGGTGAAAACAGTTTCATAAAAGCCTTGATAGTCACTTTTTTCCTTGTTGTATTTTTCTACCTTTGATTAACTAAGTGTTAACAAATGCCCATACATCCATTACGTAATTTCCACTCATCCAATTCATAAAACTTGTACAAACCTTTATAAATTTTTATAATGATTACGCAATCCATCTTACCAATTGTCTAATTTTAGATAGTTTCTATCTTTTTATTGTATTAAAGTCTATCTTCAAAGGACCATAATCATACAATTGTGTGTTGACACAAGATTACGAAAATAACTTTGGTCATTAAAACTATCTACAATCACAATCTTTGACCACATAATATGACGCTATCTCTCAATTCGAACAAGCAGAAGTTACATGACGAATATATTTCCATTGTTATTCTCGCTTAATTTAAATTCATAAAAGGGGACCAAATTGTATGAAATTAATTTAGCTATGTGGTTTGTGGAGAATCGTCCAATTTGAAGTTTATTTTCATCACAGACTAACACTAAACATTGAACCAATATAAATCAGATATTTTAGATAGATTTAAACAGTTGATTAAAAACCCTGAACGTAGGTTTTGTGTTAGCTGGGACTTATTAGTGTGGTGTGTCTGGAAGAAGTTGATACTCCCTATGAATTTCGAATACTCGTTACCTATTTTTACTGGGCATCAAATGACCTACTGTTAGAGTGAGATACTTACAATTGATTGATCAGCAACTGGTAACCTATATTACGTTTATTTAGTTCTGTAGCACCAGCCGAATCCTCTCGATTAAGTTTCAGTAATAACCTCTATCTAATCGATTGAATTTAATCAGCACTTGTAATTTCTTTTTGTAAATGTAAAGGACTGTAATTGACTGGTTATTATTGAAATTATGGGGTGATTGCATTGAAACCGATTAAACATGTTGGTGACTACCTGAACTCAGTAGTTCAGTGGATATATAGTTTATGTTTGAAGCTACCAGTGCGTGGTCTGAATCATAGTGTGAACAAAAACACTGGAATGCAGGTGCGTCTAGCTGATGAGTCCCAAATAGAATAAAGCGCTTGTTATATAAAAAATATACATAAAATAGGTAAATAGCTTTTAGATTTGAAGATATTTCTCATTATTGATTGATATAAACTATAAATTCACTATATTACACATCCTTTATACATTGCCTAATCTGGGTAACTGTTTCACACCAGAAATGGTTGAACTCCACTGATCACAGCTTCTCACTAGAACTTGAGGAGTTATGTCTTGAAGCAAATCACTAGTGAGTACAGGGTTATTGTTAAAATAGAGGGATATGTGGATATTGTGGAATTTTCATGGTTTTAAATCACGAGGATTGAATATTATCGTAGTGACTGAAACTAGACATTAGCACCGTTAGATGCTAGCTCAGTGACCTGAAGGTTAAGTGTTTGTGAGAGACCAAAAGATCTAGATTCCACTCCTGGATGTACGGTTTTGAGAAGTCCAGTCCCAGGATGAAAATGTCGTTCATTACTTCTAGGTGTTCCGCAGTAGTCTACGAAGATCAGTTCGTAACTTGACTATGAAAGTCCTACAATCTCCACAAATCTCTATTTCTTAATAATGAAGTATGAAAACGGAGCACTTCAGCCTAAGTTATTTCGTAGTGAAAACAAACTTCGTAGTATACAAATCTGAAGAAAATAAAACAATATGAAATTTGTTGTGATCTTAAGCTTACATTATGTCATATTCCGATGAGAATAATAAATGGTAACTTTTGGAATCTATTTCTGGACTAATACTATACATGTATTTCTACTGTATAATTGTTAAGTAGCTAAACTATGCATATTCATGCTTCTCTTATTATAAACTCTATTGTGACCTATAAACTATCATTATACGATTTACCGTTATTGAGGTATACCTTCTCCCACAGCCACTTTTGGCTAAATCTTGTACAAATGTTATTTTCTATTTTATGATACGATATGATCTGTTTGTTTTGTAAATAAACCCAGTATGTTTGAAATACACTATTGTAATTTATGTATAATAAAGGAAATAGTTGCAGTTAATGATAAATCAAGCAAAAGCTTACAAGTAAGACACTATAGAAATACAATGAATCACTACTCATAAGAAATGTACAAAATTGATTTCCTGAGTTGAATGATTTCTTCTCAAAGTATCTTGCTAACAAACATTTAAACTGATTACAAATTATAAGATTAATCGAAAAAATGCCTATAAGTGATTAGTTTTTATACCATTCAGGTGCAAGTTTATTTAATGGAGATCCTTTTGATAGTTATCTCACAATCTATGATATCGAGTTGACATAGTTTTGTGATGGAACGCTTGATAGAATACCGACTACGTGAAGAAAAATATACTTTTTTTACTGGTATGATATAAATATTTATGAATTGACGAAATAAATTGTAAGTAATCTTATTACAGTTGAAGAACATTTCATATCGTAAATAAGACATAATAGAGATAAGAAATCATTATAGTCATTCCTGATTATGAATTAACTAAACCTTAGAATATAAGATACTTGCTTTCAACTTACTGGTCCACACATACTGTGCTTTATGCAAAACTTACAAGTCTTGCATTTTTTGATAAGTATTTGTGAGAAATTACAAGTCGAAATAAAGGAATTATTATTTCACACTGTTAATTTATAGGAATATTCGTCAAGATTAGAACAAATAGTTTGACAGAAATTGGGCTCAGAGTATAGAGAAGACATTTTAGGTGAAAATTATATTTGAAATAATCTCAACTATTGAAATTATTTCAAATATAATTTTCACATATTTTACACTGTATTGTGATTTTTTCCATCTCTCTGTGATACAAACTAATTTCGAGTTAATGAAATCTATAAATTGGTAGTTTCTATTCGTCTCAATTGAACTACTATTGAAAACCATGAAGCAGTGGACAGCTTTTGTGTCCGAGTATGGGATTCCTCACTAATGTATATCCACCATCCTAACAGAAATCGAACCCAGGAACTTCTGGTCTCAAAAAAACAACAGCTGTAAATTGATCATCATTGAATGTTTTATATTCTAACGTTCTAATTGAACCTCATTTAAATTTCAACAAAAAATCTTTAATACTAATAAAAGTAGGCTTCTATATTTTATAATGAAATTTTCAGTGCGGAGGGAGGGGGAAGGGCAGAATTTTTTGAAAGATTATTTTTTAAAAAATATTCTACCTTATTCAGATTGAAATCTTTCTTCTTAAGTCATCTAATCAACTGACAGAAAAAGGAAGATGGAGAGAAAGATTAAAAAAAAGAGTCAACATTATATAATTTTATACCACTTGAGAAAATACTTATTCAAATTGTGTTCTCATCCCTAACTACATCTTATTTTATTCATAAGTGTTAATAAATGACATGTATTTTATTTTCAGCAGTTGTGTAACACCCTCCTTCTTATCTGAAATGAATGTAATATAAGAAATATAATACTGATAATCACTTTTAACACATTAAATGATTACATCATCAATACATATCAGATAGATAAGTAGATAATGAGGTAAGAAGACAGGAAATAAATGTATCCACTTGAAAATCTCATTTCAAGGGGGAAATAAATAAATTAGATTCAATGACATGGGATGAATAGAGAAGAAATGTATATAAGTGGGGGTAGGGCGGTTAAGAATACTGATAACCAAAAACTATCATTGAATAGGTAAATAGGTCATCTATGGTTCAATTTTGTTTTTTGCAACAACAAAAAAAAATGACAGAAAATTTATCAGATAAAAGGGAAGGCAACAGAGGTGAACTGGGAAAAAAACATGGACAGTAAACGGAATTTACTTCAAAATCTTGGGGAGCTAGAAGTTTATTTATTACTACAAAATGCTAAATTGTTACAATATTTTGATGCATTCATAAATCATGGTAAGTGTAAATATTACACTTTGTCAAATATCTTGTCTATTAATATTCCTTATAATTCATCATATGTGAAAATAATATTTGAAATAATATCAGCGATTGAAACTTAAGTTATTCTGATGTTGCGTCCACTAAACTTGTCTGGACTTCTTCAGGGTAATAATAATCCAAATTAAGATTTTCAATTTAACAGTCAAATCAAGCACATTAAAGATTTGATTTAACTGTTAAACACTATATATTTGTTTGATGATTTTGATTATTACCCTGAAGAAGTCCAGACAGGTTTGCTGGACGAAACGTCGGAATCACTTAAGTTTCAATCGCTGATATTATTTGATATATAATGACATCTCTATACTCGGAGCACAATTTTTGTCAACCTATTCGTTTTAATGTTGATGAATATTCGTATAAATTCCTTACAATTGTTTACAGAATGTTTACGACTAAATTTTGATATGGTTAACATTGATCGATTACCGAATCTCAACTAATATTTTGATGTCCAATGATTAATGCTACCTAAATTATATATAGCAAATTATAAAAGAGACACCTGATTAAATGATCTATTAACATTTGACGATTTGATGTCAGTTAGTTGAAGATGATCTACAATGTGTCTCTGATCCAAGTTTCATATTAATTAACATATTAGGGAGGTATAATTTCAACCTTATATATTGTAATATATTCTGGAAATAAGAACAGATGTACACTAGTTCAAGGTATTATCAAGTTGATGTAAATTAATAATAAGTAGTAACAAGAAATGTTTACCGTTTCTGAAAAGTAAAAACACACGATTTTTTTATTATTGAGGATTTGGGGCAAAGTTCTCAGTAACTTAATTGAAATATATGTAGGATAAATAAATATAAAAGAAATCATGATACACAACAGCTATTTTGATGGTATACACAAAAAACCGTGATGTCATAATACAATATAATTTTATAATACCACAAGTAGAATGCTAATATGGTGTTATGAATACATCATTATTAGAGTAATCTAATAAGCGACTAGCTTCGAAGGGTATTTCTTCATGGTTCTAGTGAGAAGTCGTGACCGGTGGAAATAATCCGTGTCGGGAGTGAGGCAGTCACCCACCTAAGATAATGGAAGATGGTCGCGCAATATCGTGGATTGGTTGAAGTTTGACATTAACACTGTGGGATGGTGGTTCGCACACGACACCAGAGGTCCTGGTTTCTAATCCTGTGTACGGGATCGTGGATGCACACTGCTAAGAAGTCCCATACTAGGATGAACCGACTATACGGTACTTCCTGGATTTTAATGGTGGTATAACACTGATGGATTTATGATCTGAATCTGTAATAAGCCCTAGATATTTTTTTGAATATATTAATATGAACTTCCCGATGTATTATTGTATAACGACTCAAGTTTGAAACGTAAACTATTATCATTGTAACGGTCCACATCCACAGGAGTATACATAGTAGCATGAGTGAAGAAAACTAGAAAAGAGGACAAAAGAAAAAAAAGAATCAACGCAACCTAGCAAACGCACATAATGCACTTGCATTTATTAAACGAAAACAATAGACAAAATTCACCGATGATATAAGTCTCGAAAATTAAAACTAAATGCAGACAGAATGAAGTTTGTAATCCGCTACAACAACAACAACAACAAAGAACATTTTCTCCAATTTATTCATTTAGCAAGTAAATTTTAATATAATGTAACATCATTGTAGGTATATACCTAATGATCAAGCTATCAGTATTGTATAACTTATTTTGTTCACAATTTTACATTAAGGTGGTGATGACATTCAACAATTGATTGATTCATTAAATGATCCTAAAGAATTTGATCAACTTATTAAAATTGTTGAAATGGATAAAAAACCATTACATGTTCAAAGATTTAAAAAAGCACTTCTTCAATATTCAACACAAAATATCACATCACATCACAATCAACAGCATGTAACTAAAGAATTTCAATCAAATAATATATATACTAATCAAGAAGGATCAAGTTTAAATATTGATAATAATAATAATAATATGTTTACAAATTCTAATTGGTGTTCATTAGTACCTTCAATCTATTCAGGATTAAATCTATTTCCAAATCAATCATCATTAATTAATTCATTAACTTCAACACAATCTATTCTATCAAATTATTCACAGAATTTCAATCCTTTATTTAATCAATGGGCAATATTGAATAATTCACAAAATGCTCCAATGTTTCAGTCATTAGCTATGGGTATTTCAAATCAACAACATTTAATAACACCAGTAGAAAGTGTTGATAGAAATGATCATAGTTTTAGTGAGTTATATGTGTATATTTTCATTGTAAATTTTCATCATTATTTTCAATGATAATTTTTTCTGAACTAATGTTATTGTTGAATTGAGAATTGATATGAATTTTTTTTCCAAATTTGCGGTTAAAATGATATTTCATTTGTAGCTGTGACTCTTTCTTTATGAAAGGAAACTTAAGTTAATAAAGAGACACATAAGACTACTCAACAGTGAGCATTCATGATCCCGTACGTAGGACTCGAACCCAGGACCTTGGGTTGCGCGTATGAACGGTTAACCTTGTGGATCGTGGATGTGCATTGTTTAGGAGTAACATAATAGAATGAAACGGCCAACCAGTGCTTCCAGGTTTTTTTATGGTGGTCTAACACTGATCCATTCATGATATCAATCTAAACCTAATGATATCCACAACCTATAATGTAAACTACAGATTTTAAATAGCTAGTTATCTTCAAGACAGAGATAGATTAGGAATGAATGCATACATTTTGCTATTATCAGTTTCATTCATAACTCTTAATCTTCAGTCACGTACATTTTGTGTACCCTTTAAGATATTATCTGAGTAGCTAAGAATCCTAATCATGATCAATATGATCGGTAAAGAATTTCGTAGAACCTTATAAGTTTTATAAATTGTGAATCGAATAGCAATTGCAAATTCTGATTTATTTTATTAAATACAAATACATAACTTAAATTAACTACAATAGTTTACTTAATTAATACATAAGAACTTTCATCTAAATTTGATCGAACAGTTTCACAGTATTTGGGTGCTGAGTCAATGTGAGACATTAAAGAAGTAGAATGTGTTTGTAAAATCTCAGCGAAAGAATTTGTTATCAGAAGGAAATGTTTAGAAGCATAAGCAATCACTAACAAATATGTATTTTCTGGCGTTGAAGTTGTATATTAAGAGACAATAAATTGTACAAATGTTAGTGTCAATAAAATGGATATAACATAGTGATTTCTCGTTTCATAGTAAGCTACTTATTATTTTAAGTAGGATTTTACCTTTTATTTTCTGTTAGTGTTGAGTTATGATTTGATATTGATCAATTAATGGAAGTTAGTATTGAAATAAGGAAATGTTTAGACCTTAGTAAGATTTCTAAGAGACCTTGATTATGATAAAACAACCAACTAGTCTGAAAATAATTGTCATATTAATTAATATCAAATGGTGAACTGTTGAAAAGTAACTAATGTTAAATAACTATTGCATCCTCCTTCGGTACGTTTTAGTAGTGGGCACTCACAACTTAACATGAGTTCGTATCCAGAAGTATAAAGATTGCTTGAGATAATCATAATAATGTTTCAAACTTCATTCAATTCACCGTAATTTTATTTCAGTAGTTTTCATAACTTATCAAACTAAGTAATCGAGTAACTAATCTTTTATGTCAAAGACTTATTTTATCAAGTAAGAAGACAATAAAAACTTGTATGTACAAGTCACTTAACCATTTTCCATTAATTGAATTAATCAGCTGGTGGGAATGGTTTTACTGGAAAACTAAAACTGGTCAACTGAGTGTTCTAAAGACACTTTTGAAAGTTGTGACAGTTACATAATCAATATCTGTAACATTTTACTGATAAGAAACAGACATTTCCATCCCGCGGTAGGAGGGATAGATTTTGGGGAAGAATGTTTGATGATGTAATTGATTACATAACTTTACATAAAATTAATTCGCTTCCTTTTTGTCAAGCATTTACCCTAGTATTTCAATAAGAAATTAAATTTTTCTAATAACCACACCTTTCACCTGATTTAGGGGTCACGGAGAAATACTAAAGTTCAGGAGATACAAGACACTGGTATCATGGTTACTTTATAAATACAGCCTTTTAAAAATGGAGCATTGTAGATAAAAACTCATCTGTTGCCAAGTTACATTTTGATAGATTACGTAAAAACTCGAATCAGTAGCCATGGGGGAATAGATAACAGTATTTTTATTTTTCGTTAGCTCATCAATCAGCCTTTTATTTGTAGGTGGTTTTGAGTAGTTAACAGATAAACATAAGGCTAAGTTTCGTGATAACTGAAACCAATCGGCGAAGCGTCTTTATAATTAACAATATTTGAACACCAATCTTCCATTATCATAGTTTAAGAGGTTACCACTAGCTATTCGATCAGCTATCCTCCTTTTCCAGAACTGAGAGATTTCCAATGATTGATTATTGGTTAATAACCAACATCATATTTGTTTCGTTTTATAATACTAATTGAATTTTTTCGCTCAAGTTGCAATGAGACCAATATGCTAAGCTCTAAGCTTTCCTGCCTACTAGCTCAAATCACGTAAGACCATAACACTGCAAACACGATATCAAGTGACTTAGACCAGTAGCAATAATGCAACTTGATTGATGGAACTTTAGCATCACTGATGACTAAACAAACATGACATTGGTCACTACTCAGTGGTCAATCACTCTAATTAATACTTTATTATATTTGATTTAAATGAAACCTTAGATCCAACTCAATCTAAAGACTGTGGAATGTTTCGTGTGATCGAACTTAAGATAGTGTTGCAGATGGAGGATAAAACAGTTTTCCAGTTCATTATAGTTTATAACCGTTGTGTAGTTACAGTTAATTTGTGATATTAGTTATCTTGAAAATTGTTTCTTTCGAAAGCTTTTACTTCTTAAGATATTCTCAACTTATGGTAAATCTTTTAAATATTAACTGAAAATGAATTTACGAAATTAAGATGAATTATTTAATTGAACAATTTCAGAATTATCTGATTATACTCACTCATTGGAACAATTGATTACATCAAAGAAATGTCAACAACAAGAAGAAAACATTCAAGATATTAATGAAATAAATCAATCAAAAACACAAAATAATTTATTAAATAGTCCTATTCTATCAAGAAATAATTCACCATATTCATCACAATTATCACAACATACAATTTTACATCCATCACCTTTAATATCAACCAATGAAGAAATTAATTTAACAGGAACAATAACAAATTCACAAACTAATGCATTAAAGCTTATTGTAACTGAGAATCTCATTGATGATCCATTGAAAATACGTCCAAGTGCCACTTTAATGAAATCAGATTATTTAAAATTGGAAATTGCTATCACTGCATTATTACCATATTTACCGAAATTTCAAATTAGAAAATCTAACAATTCACGAAATACAAATGAACAAGAAATACAAGTAGGCAACGTTTGTTTTAGTACGGTATATATATATAATATGTATTACATAAAACATAGCTATGGTATCAGTAAAACAGTCGTCTCGGTAGTTATGGAGCAAAATAGCTGAAGTAATTCCAAGTCATTAGAAATCGTAAACACAATTACAAGAAAAACTGTTGTATAGTTATTCTGAACATTTTAAATGATTTCTTAAATTCAGTAATCTGTAGAATGATCCAACTAATAATGTAATTGACTAATAAGCGTAGTTTAATGCTTAGTTATTCCAGACCAAACCTCCTAGATAATCAACATTAAGCGTTACACGGAATTAAACACTTTAAGAATTTGTTCTAATAGTATATTATTCACACAATCGATCAGAAACGTAAAAGTATTGAGAGTTGGATTTTGAGAAAAGTAACCTAGTCGAAAAAGACCTTGAAAATAAAACAAAATAATTGACCGGTTCATTTCAATTTCTTGATATGGTCAGACAAATATTTATGTTTAATGAAAGTCACATCTATTGCATGTTTTATCCAGTTATAGAAAAAAAATAGATTCAAGTTAAAAAGCAGAAAAAAAAACAAATATTCTCAGTATTTTAAAGGGGTAGAAACAAGTTACTTACTTATTTACTTACTAACTCCTGTTACCCCTCATATTGGAACATAGGCCGCCCACAAGCATTCTTCACTCAAATCTGTCCTGAGTAATTAAAGTACAAACCTGAAAATGTATTTCATTACTAATCCGCCGTATATATTAGGAGTTTTGATAAAATTGATGCTACCTAAAATGATATCAGTAAACATTGTTCATCAGTTTAGTTATTCTGTAGTCAAGTTACATATCCAATCTGTAGGATTCACTTATTATCCCCTCTGGGGCTACTGCCAGCCTCATACCAGTAGAAAGGAGTCGGGTCGAACATGGAGTTAGCGACCCCATCCCATAGAAAACTAACACTCTAAAAAACGCTAACTAGAAAAAATAATTCAAACCATTTAAACTGCCCTGGGAGTTAGAAGGTCTTCATTTGGAAGAGTTATGACGCCTCATGGTGAAAGCTGGGTTCTTTCGGAAGTCACGAGGCTGATGCCCTTTCTGACAACCAGTGCCACCATTAATTTAGGTATATGGAATGCTTGTAGTGGCATTGGACAATAACCACACAATCTGCAAAGCTGAATACGTGATTGCTCGGAAAATAGATATTCAGTATTTAACGCGGAGAAATACTTAACGATGGAAAAGACGGGAACAGTTAATTGAATGAATTGGAGTTGATCGAATGGCATGGCTCGGCCATGCAGGCGTGGTCCATCTGAATGTTACTTTATATCTTCTATTTATATTAAATATATTGTTCCTTCTCTAGCCTGACCTTGTTCTACATCATGTATTGGTAAATGATACGATACAGTGAGTTGGTGTAGTCGATGGTGTGACTTCTACGTAAGATCTTATAGATTAGGCCGTTATATCATGACAAATCTACAATTTTAGGATTAGGTCTATTATTAGAGCAGTACTAATATCATAGTAGACCATAATTTTACATTCTCATACAATATGAGAGACCGGATGAGTCATCCAAATTGTTGCAGAAATGAAGAGATACAACCTAGAGGTGTTTGGAATCAGTGAAACACATTGGACGCAGGTTGGGCAACAATGACTAGCTTCAGAGGAACTGCTGTTATTCTCCGGCCATGAAGAAAAATTGTTCAATGAACAATGATAATATTAATTCACCATTACAATAATATCAAATATGTCATTTAAAATCTGGGTTTCATTAATATATCCTAATATTGAACAATTTTAAATGACGAACTAATTAGAAACTGTTTATTTACATACATTTATTGTAGGAGATTTTAAAACTACCAGAAAACGATCAAAATCGTATAAATGGATTAAGAAAACATTCATTGATATTTGGACGAACAGATTCAGTTAAACGTTTAACTAGACCATTGAGACATTTTGAAATAACAATTAATGAAATAACATTTCGTTTGGTACAACAAATTCCTGAGTTGATTACACAACGAGAACATTTATTTCATATTGCACGTCAAATAGTCAATACTATGAATTATGGTTTAAGTGTAAATCAAACTGGTCAGGTATGTTGTATGGATTTTGAATTTAGCGGTTGATTTGATGTTGAATGTTAAATAATTATTTCCACTTGATAAATTTAATAGATCTTTTGAGGAGTATTTAAGTATCTTCATCATTTTAGAAATTACTTATTACTTACTGACGGTGTTGGGGTTGAAAGGTGATTTCAGTTAACGTTGATTTTGATGTTTTCAATGTTGTTTTTCTGAAGTGATCTTGTGATTTTGAAAATCAGCTGACCATGAATAAGATATATCTTTCTATTTTATTCGTTATCTTCATATCTACCCAATTTCCATTCATCAAATTACAGATAAGTACATGAATATCTAGGGTAGGTAGTCGACAAAATTGCCTTTTTTCATTCTAAGAATAGTTATGCATAATATTAAACGAATAAATTGGAAATAAAACATGATAAAGATCCTGGTTTTATGACTCAGTGGACAGATTTTTTTTAGTTTCATTATTCAGATCTGGATTCAAAGTGAACTTATTTCCATTGTGATAATCTATTCCATATACACTTACAATTCATTGTATCTTTACCGATCAATTCGTTGACATTTATCATTTATGTAGTATGTATATAGATACTGTACATTCACAGAATAAGTAGATTACTAAATAAAAGGTGGTAAACCATTGTTAGATGATTGGAAGCAATTGACAAAATGCTAAGGACTTAGTTTTCATTCTCACATGCACTGACTTACTTACGCCTGTTACCCCTCGTGGAGGAGCATAGACATGCATTATATTCACTTAAATATTTGTAGTTCTGGGATGGATGCTAATTCAAATACAACTATGTATTTCAATCTTTAGAGGGATTACGACACAGGAACGAATGGGACAACTTATTTCTTGCTACACTTAAATGCTGGGTCATTATTAGTAATCAGTGTCACGTTTGCCTAGTGTGTAAAACTAATCAGATTGTATCGAACAGTTAGTCCTGGAACTATTAGGTTTCACTATTAAGTGGTCAGAAGTAGTTGTGGTCTGTTTATTTGGTGATTCTTTCTAAATACTAAACATCCCTATTGTATTTCTCTTAACATTATATTATTTAGGTTACATGGAAAATGTTAAAGGAAGAGATCTCGAAAAAATCCATAGCTGATTACAAATTATCAAAGTAATTTCTTCATTGTTAAATTTTTTTCCCAAATTCAATTTCTTGGTTTGCAATTGATTTATTTTGTTATTAGTTTGTAAGTATAAAAAGTAGGAAAATTATCAACTTGATGATGTAGCCATTATCTATTACCATTAGTTGTTTAATTCAAATCTGTCTGTGATATGAACTTTCTGATTCAATGATTTCTATAATACACTATAAATTCGAGTCAGAAGTCTTAACTAATGAAGTTCAACCGATTCAGAGATGAGACAATTATTACCATTGTTACAATGTGATGGTCATTTAATATCTTGAATTGATTCAAACTAAAATTGTAAACCATTCGAAACGAACTGATTAGTCCTTAAGGTTAAATGCTCATCTGACGAGTTTTGACAAGCATTAAATCTAGATTTAAGGTTTCCAGTGGATTATCTCCAACCGTCTTACATCATTTTTACTCCTATCAGTTTCTTAAAGTTATTTGGTTGGTCTTTGAACTTCATGTTGAAAATAAGGATGATTTTACTAATAAAGTTATAGTTCTCTGAAATTTACTGTTAGATATGAATATACATTAGTATGAACTGACAGATTGGTAGTGATCTTTGAATTGTTCAAGTTAGATTCAATTATGACTTTCGTATCTATCTCCTATTGGTTGGTTAATAAATCATTAATTTTATTTGTAATTGAGAATTTCTTATAATTGGTATATATTTTATGCTGATGTAGAATATTAGTAGTTTGCATAGTTCGATTTCATATTGAAAACTAAACGAATCATAACCCATTTTTGAATAAACACCATTAAATGAATCTCATGCTTAATACTTTCTTAATATTTTAAATAATAATCTTTTTTAGCTCAGATGATGAATGTATATTTGAAGCGAATGAAGCAGATTATTCAAATGAGACATTAAGCCAAGTAAGTTATGAATTTAGCATGAATGTTTAAAGTTAATTTTCATTGTAAACTGAAATCAGTTTATGAACCGTTAAAAGTTATGAAGTGCTGAACAACTGTTTTGTCTTGTTATATACCCTCACTAAGTAGGGACAAATCGAATTACTTCTGATCCCATAATGATACTACATCATTGAACTACTGACTAAAAATCTATTGATTATCTCTGGAATGTAGGAGATTAAGATTTTTAGTCTATATCCGAGGAAGTCACTTGACAAGGTCAATGTGGATTGCAATCATAAGGGAGGAAAGTGTGATATTTTTTGTGTCGAATATATTGAATGGAAAAGTAGACATTATCACTAATTCTTTGTTACCATGGCCACTCCTCTCATGAATACCGCTTTGTTGGTTGCTGAAATCAAGCTAATCATCAAATACAGAATAAGTCATGTTATTTGGTTAAATGCCACCTAGAGAAAGACTTGGACATGGGCATTTTATCACTTCGTACTTGTCATTAATGTATACACACGGTCCAGAAGCGTTGTCATCCCTATAATCTGAGCCCGCTTTACTTACTGTATTATTAAATAACAGTTTGATGAATGTAAATAAATATAAACGGAAGAACTAATTTTCCCTATGTCTCGTTATGGTTGGATTTAATTCATACAAAATGTGTTAACAATTAGTTACGTGATTATAATTTTAGTTGGTTTCTAGCAGAAAAGCCTATAGTGAGTGATTTACTCTATTCGGAATTCATCATAAGTGGTAGTAGATGCATCTAAGATTCCACTGCTGGTCACAATGCAAAAACGTAAGCAACGTGTAAATACAAACAACATAGAGATATTCCTTATAGGATCCAGTAAACCATTTTAGATTAATCAAATATGTAGTCTTGTATACTAGCAATGAGAAACTACAAACCTTTGGATATATTCCTACATTACAATTGAATGTTCATGGATTAATTAATTAATTTGATTTACTGATCTTGGTCTTACAGATACTTCTTCAATTGAAATTAGAAATGCAAGATGTTGTAAATAAAGAAGTTATTTTACGTACTAAAGTTCGTTGTTCTGGTAAAGATTTACCATCAACAAGACAAACAAGCAATGTACGTGGAGATTTGGATAAACTTGTAAATCAATTGCATAAATGTATCACTAGAACAGTTAAATATATTATTCTACTCAAAAGGTATGCATATCTTGCAATTGTTCGTTTTATATATATAAAAAACTTGAATTAAATTCATTCGAATTTATTTAAAATCAAATTGAGAAAGTGTTTGTTTTAGTAAGTAACTGATTCAAATGGGCAATGTTTCAAGTGGTTTAGGTAGATGAAGTAATGTATTAAACAATGATAATTAAGTAGAAAACTTATTTGGTAAATAAGGAAGGAACGAATTGAGCAATAGTTCAGATATTGTTCTCTTAATTTATCAGGGAGATCTTCTACCGCGTAAATTCTCTCATTGATATTTTTACCATCTCGGAAATGTATGAGTTTAGAGAATCGATTTGCTTAAGGGCGTAGCGTTTGAGAGTCCTTCCATTTGGTCGAACTCGAGAGCGACGTAAAGATTTCCAATACAACTATGGATACAAGTTAGTTTCTATGCACTCCTTTATAAAATCAACATTTGTCATCGCCTCACTGAGCCTTGAGCTATGCTTCAGATACTAGTTGAGAACCTGTAACGCAAATGTTTGCTCAGAACGTTTCAATATAGTGAAAATTCCCATTCTTTATTTACCAAATGGCAAAATGGGAATTTTCATTATAAAGAAAACTTATTCATTTTATTTATAGATAGTATCCTTTTATTAGCTGTATATGATATACCTGAGTGTTATATTACCTGATAACTATCAAAGAAGTGGATAAAATGAATTATTTAAGGACCAAATGAACCCGAATGTTAATACGAGCGGAATGCATATGTAACATTCAATTATTATTTACCTAGTTCATCATTAGAATTAAAAACATCACTTTACCAATGAAATAAGTTCAACTATGGACAGTTTTTTACTGTTGAGTTAAAACCAAAAATTACTTTATTTTTTCTTCTGTTCAATACATAAAATGACTCTAGATTTACGTTTATGTGCTGTGATCTGAAGCACTAAGAAACACTCATTTTGAAATGTAATGTGGTCAAAATAAATAACGATTCTATGTTCGTAATTGTTCAGGTTGCGAAACATACTTTATCAGTGACATCTTAGTCAGTGTTATATATTCAAAGCATTCATTTAGTTTGCTGTCAACATATAGGTCATTTACATCCATCTAAAGATCACAGATGTCATAGTATATAAGTTAGAATTATATGTAACTGTCTGAATTCTTCATAAATAGTTCGAACTAGTAGATGAAATATTTTAAAAATTACGGTTGTTCGATGATGAAGTCCTGCATAATGACCATTCTTGATTTGTATTTTTTTAAAACGGTAAATAAAAACTTTTTAAAATTATCAGTATGCTGAATGTTCTCATTCGAAACCGTATGTTCTAATTTCAAATCTTGGATGATCACCGCTGTTTAGAAGCCCCCATAATAGAATGAGACGTCTATAAAGTGTTCCTAAAGTCTTAAACATTTAGCTAACTTAAATCGATTCTTGATCTTAACGAAACCTTTTTTTTAAAAAACTATCTGTTATCTGAATTAAAAATTACCTTTTACCGTTTTCATATACCTTATTTTTTTCTCTCATTCAAATAGTGCTGAGAATCGAGAATCAGAAAGCAGTGAATCACATATTCATTGTTCATCACCTATTCAAAACAATATTGATAGAGATAATACGATATCTGATAAATAATATAATTTTGATTTAATTTAATATCTATTTGTATAAGACCAATCACTTTCATTTATATTTTACGAAGGATTTTTTTATGCCTTAATTTATTTCAATAAATAAAATTGTTCAAGTGTTGAAACATTGAATGGTAGATTTACTTTTTCTTGAATTTAATTGGTTTATCAGTAGGGAATATATATATATATTGTGGTGTTTGAATGAACTAATGATTCTGTTGTACTTGTTGAATGCTTGATTTCGAATACCAAATACAGTACATTTGTCTGTTATTTCTGGGATTCTTAGTTCGTACTATAATTCAAATACTTCTAATCATGTATATACCGTCGATGAGATTTTTCCCACTAAGCAGTTGAGATTGAGAGTTAAATCTTTTTTTAAATTAATAAATCTACAATCACTTATGTTTTCTATCACCAGTTTATGAAAGTTTCGAAGGAATATGACATATTTGTTTAGTTCACTTTGATTTTAAATGATTAAGAACCTGATTTAGTCTTTTGACAAAGCTCTACTTTTATTTTTGAATAATTAACTCTCTAGATATTTAACTTAATATACTCTCGTCGACGTTCAGATATATTTGTTTCTCTTCACTATTGTCACCTCCTTTGTTTGTCTTATGGAAGTCGAAATTAGGGTGTACTGATACAAGCAACTTCTGATTATGTCGTATCAAGAGAATCGTCATAAGTACAGAGAGACCGATAATCGTGTATGATGTTATTACATTTAAATATCAATTGAAACATAAAGGTTAAAAGGGTCTTTTGTGATAAATCATCAAAATTTGTATGTTTGTTGGAAATAACACAAGGGTAGATTATATGTACATACAAACAATGTATGCTATTATCTGAAAATTGAACCGACATGAAGGTTAATCATCCGGAAATATGAGTTAGACTTTGGAGTATTAATGAGTGATCCGTCAGTGTTATATATTAATGTATGTGATGAGGGAATAAAGATGATTATATGAAATAGGTTTTTCTGTATTTTTTGCTGGGGTTTACTTGACTATACCCTCGATAAGACAGAATCGAAAGAAACTGGTTTCCAAATATTTGATAACGGTTATTTCAAATAAATAAATATATAGATGGAAGAGATGATGATTCGGAAAAAATTATATCTGAACATTGGTAAAAGTAGGGGAATCTGGGATACTCTTAACTGGCTAATCAGAGGGGGAAAAGTGTCGCATGATAAGCTGTTCAGCTAGTAATATCTTCCATAGCAAACATGCTTAGTATGGATATCGAATGCCTACAAAACTGTTTATTTCGGAGATTTATATGTCTGAACACTGTCATGGAATTCCTAAGAAATAGATTGTAATCCATCAAGGAGGTTTCGGCCCCCTGTATCAGTCAGTCATTCAGTTACAACGTATGACCAGGCACATATGTGCATCGGTTCAAGTTGCCACACCTCATTAGCACATTAAGATGAACACCAAATTCATAGAAGCCATAAACTCAGTGGTGTAATATATAAGGCAAAGATTGCATATAAGGATATAGTACAGGATGAAAGAATTAGTTCGTAGAAAGAAAGATATGAAGCGAGAGAGGGTATACACTTACGCCATTGTGATCGATTCTGAGTCATTTCACCAAGAGTCTCCAGACATTGATTACAATGGTCACGCGGACCCCAACCAAGTAGTCTGCATCTACCAACATGACTCAAACTAGAAGTTAGTGACTTCAAGCACTGATGCCACGTTTTGGTTTGGCCGCCCCTAACTTTCTCCCAACCATCACCAACACTAGACAGCACTGCGCGTTGTGGTAATCGGTTTCCAGGCCTATGTAACACGTAGCCCAACCATCTCAAATGATGAAGATTCACAACCTCATCAACTGATTTACCATCGTTTCCTAATACCATGCGTCGAATCTCACTATTACTTACCCGACGATCCAGCAGATGCGAGCAATATTTCTAAGGCATCTGTGGTCAAATATTAGTAGCTTACGAATATCTCCTACTCTTAATGGCCATGTTTCGCTGCCGTAAATTAAAACAGAACGAACTGCCGCGCAGTATACTCGTCCTTTTATTGATAGACGGATATCTCGCCTTCGCCATAGGTGACGTAAGTTGGCAAAAGCCAAACGAGCTTTTAGAATCCATGCTGATATTTCGTCAGACACCAACCCATTTGGGCTGATCAGACTTCCTGGGTAAGCGGAGTTGTCAACGCGTTCGACTACTTCAATCCCTATCCTTAGTTTAGGTGTTGATGCAGACCAGTCCTGAAGCAACAATTTGCATTTAGAGGATGAGAAGCGCATTCCAAACATGCTGGCATTGTTGCTCAGTGCTACCAAAAGACTCAGCATTTTGTCAGCGTCTTCACCAAACAGGACTATGTCATCTGCGTATTCTAAATCGATAATTAGACCTCCTAGAATGAGATCAATGCTCGAAATTTCGGTCAATAAGAGCGTTATTTCCATCAGTAGGTCTATGATGAAGTTAGACAAAAATGGAGAAAGTGGGCAGCCTTGACGGACACCACTTGAGGTTGTAAAAGTAGATCATAATTCGCCATAAGCTCTGACTCGACTGGTAGTGTTCGAGTAAAGCGTCTTCACAAGGTTTATGTACTTCTGAGGCACGCCTTTCAATGACAGACACTGCCACAGAGTCCCGCGGTCTACAGAGTCAAATGCTGCTTTTAAGTCAAGAAAGACCACCATTGTCGGACGCCGATAAGTATGCCTGTGTTCTAGAACCTGACGAATGGTGAATATGTGGTCGATGCAGCCACGACCAGGTCTAAAGCCAGCTTGGTTCTCCCGTGTTTGCAGTTCACGAGTCTTAGTTAGGCGTCTGATAATTATCGAGGCTAGTATTTTAGATGCTATATTAGTCAAACTAATCCCTCTGTGGTTGTCACGGGATGATTTTAACCCTCTCTTATATATTGGGATGATCAGTGACTGTGACCAGTCAGATGGGATAACGTCTAACTCCCAGATCTTAGCTAAACTATTAGTCAACCTAATCGCTAAAATTGGACCATCATCCTTAAAGACCTCTGGAGCCAATCCATCTGGACCAGCTGCCCTTCCTCGTTTCAGATTAACTATAGCCTTATGGACTTCAGCAAGAGTTGGACGACCTATTTCAATGTTCCATTCACATTGTCTGGGAATGGAGGGTAGTTGTAGAGAAGCTGAAGGCCAGTTGAACTGTTCTCTGAAATGTCCCGCCCATCGTTCTAAACTTCTGGACTGAGAACAGATGAGGGTGTCGTCTTTTTCCAAAATAGTCTGACTTACACTTGACTTATTAATTCCAGTTTCTTTTATTAGTCTGTAGAGCTGTCTTGTGTTCCCTATAGCCGCCGCCTTTTCCATCTCTTTTGCTTTCGTTGCCCACCACTGCTCACGGTCGTTCCTCAGACTTTTGCTTGAGGAAATCTACTGGTTTTTTGTAACTCTATGGTTTAAATCACTAATGGATGACAATGCTGTTTCCACTGCTGTTTGTATGGCTTTCCAAGCAACATCTTGGTCAGCCTCGTTTTCAGAACTACCTTAGTGTAACCTCAGTTGTTCCTGGAATCTATTTTCGGCTTTCTCATCGCTTAATTCAATTCTAATGCGTCTTCTTCGTGTGGATTTCCTGCGTCCAGTGAGGCGCAAGCAGATGCGTGCCCGTATTAGGGCGCGAACGGAGCGACAATCTTCTACCGATCCTCTCCAACGATGACTGATGGCAATATGGTATATTTGAGTCCATCGTTGGTTTGGTGCAGAGGGTCGCCATGTTAGACGATGTCTCTCCTTATGCCTAAAATTTGTGTTTTCTAAAAATAAACGATTGTCTGAGCACAGTTGCAGCAGACGATCACCATTATCTGTTCGCTGCACCGGAATACCAAAATACCCACCTAAATGTCTTTCTGTTTGGTTTAAGCTACCTATCTGAGCATTAAAGTCACCTGCTACGAGTACTATGTCTGAGCGTTTAGCTTTCTGAAGAAGTTCAGAAAGCTTTCTGTAAAATTCATCTTTCACATCATCTGAGCTGCAGTCAGTGGGAGCGTAGGCAGAAACGACGAAAATGCAACGACGTGTGTCCCTATCCTTCCGAGTTCTTACGGAGCCGTTTAGCCGAACAGCACATAGACGGCTTTTAACGGGGATCCATTCTAATGGTGCTTGTTCCGCCCTCATGTTTAGTACTATGCCTACACCTGCCAGTCCACGAGAACTGGCCATCGGGTCACCAGATACACGGAGGGTGTATCTCGTTGGCTCTCCGTTTTGCCGAGGTGAGGTCAAGTGAATGACCACACTGGAATCCTGTATGCGTGTTTCGGAGACACAGCATACATCAATGGTACGAGATTCTACAGTCTTAGCCAAGGAAGCCTGCTGGCCGATTTGACATAGAGTGCGTACGTTGAAGGCTCCAATGTGTAGTGTGGAGCGAGGTTTCAGTAGACCTGGGAAAGTGTTTTGAGCACTAGAATCGTTGGCTATGGTGACACTTGAGGAGGAAGCCGAAAGAGGAAGTTTAGAGTTGAAAGTCGATGTAGAAGGAATAATAGGAATTGAAGAGGGAGGTTGATTATGAATACAGTGGTCTCGGGTGCTGTTAGAGGTATGAGGGAGGTTATCACTTCCCGGTTGCCCACACCGAGGGAGGGTTCTTCTGGAGGTACCTGAAAAGGAAATTGGATTAGAAGTAATCTCAGTGACCTGAGAGCGTGACCGCAGTGCCCAAGGGACAACTGCTTGAGGTCGGTCACACACGATCATTTTGTGAGCGATTTTCGTGTTAGCTTCGTTTTTGTTGAGACCTTACCGCCGGAGACGGATATCCGTGGGATAAGGCGAAGTGTGCATTTTTAGAGTCGACCTTTTTTAACCCCACCCCTCCTTGTGTGAAGGCAGCATCGTTGTCATGCTGGTTGTCTGAAGGAAACACCTTACTGCTGTCACAACTCTGTACAGTCAGCAGTACGACTTGGC